AAATAATATATGCAGTTAGAGGAACTTAGTGAAGATAAACTTACTGACAACAATGAGAAAGGAGGTGGTGATAAAAAGAATGATAAGGTCTCAGAGGAGACAATGCAAGCCAAATACTTCTCATTAAAGGACTTCCTGGAAGTTTCACAACGTTGAAAGCATATAGAATAAAATGTTGAAATCGTATATAAACTCAGAAATGAGTATAATGATTTGCCAGCTGAAAGGAAATTACACTGTAAAATATGTAAGGAGATAACTTAATATGGTTCTTTTACAAAGAAATAAAACACATAAATTTTATACTATTCCCTTCACTATGTTTCTATGTTCATACATTTATAATTAAGACTAAGAACATTTTTAATGTTTTAACAGAGATTTCTAAAGATTGTGAAACAATCCTAAAAAAATAAAATAAAAATTGGTAATTAAATAAGAGGCATACATTGCAGTTTGCAAAAAGAAAATGTTCTGCAATTTGTTTGCTGCCACATTAAACTAACCCATACCACTGTATGTGTGATTACTGAGTCCAATTAGGACATATTTAATTAAACTTTAGTCTTCATTATTAAACACAGTTCTGGAATTTATATGACAAGCTTGTTTCTTAGGAAGACTGCCTTCTAACCAAGGTCTGGCTGCCCAGAACTAAATCCCTTCGGTGTACTCAAAATGGACTCATGTAGGGGCAGATACCACACTCCAGCTCAGAGGCTTGTTGATGCCCTTCCTGGGTGACCTGTGTAGCGTCTACATTCCTCACACATTGGCTGGCTGAGTCCCAGGACACAAAGCAGTCGCCTCCAAGTCTAGATCCACCTACACACCTCAAGTGGACTGATAGTCCTTCATAATTTTGGTTTTGAAAAATAACCTTGAGGGACCAGCAGATAGCATAATGGCTATGTTATTGGACTCCCATGTAGTCAACCGCTGTTTGAGTCCTGGAGCCGGTGGCTTAAACTCACGCCCAGGCACAAGTGCATGTGTGCCCATGATCCTGAGAGGAGAACACACGCCCTATAGAAAAAAAAAAAAAAAAGAAAAAGAAAAAGAAAAATAACCTCGAATGTTGATGAAGTGTGCTTTTAGTGTCCCAAGGGTACACACGCAAATGCTGCTATTGATCTACAGACATGACTGGACTGGAAAACCATTTTAGTGATCCCGTGTACATTTCCTAACTATTTGGTTTAGTATCATTCTCCTCAGAGTGGTGGCAGGGGGAAAGAGACTAAAAATCAGGGTTGAAGAAAAGGGGCCAATTTCTATAATCTTCCAAAAAGACAGGAAAGGAGGTGTCGATGGTTTGTATGTGGGAGTAGATAAGACAGATGAGCCGTGTATGAGGTGGAGGCCAGGCATGTGGGCTGCACTGCCTGGTTTTATCTACTTTGCAGTGTGAGACTTTCCATTACAGAAAGGGAGGGGCCACGCAGGGAGCACTACTCGATAGCATTTCTCGGGTTTCAGGGCACCCAGTCAATAAAAGCTCACCCATTTTCCCACTTACTAATTCATTCAGAACTATAGGGTTGATCCTGATTTAGAAATCCTTCATTATTTTCAGTCCATACTCACCTATTCCCTTCTAAAAACCATCTCCCATAAAAGTCAATTCATCTGTAGAGAGAACAGCTAATGCAAAGACCCTGAGGCACGTGTCCAGGGAAGAGCAAGAATCCAGAGTGAGCAAAAGAGACTGTGACGAGATGAGATTAAGGAATAGCAAAGGCAGTAATAGTAATAACTGGCTTTCACTTGAGAGGGGAAGCAACTGGAGGGTTTTGAACAGAGATGAGAAGCCCTGATCTATACTTTCAAAGGGTCACTCTGGATGCTGTTGAGAAAAGACCAATAGGGTGCAATGATGGAGGCCAAAAGACCAGGTAGGAAGCCAGTGTAGGAGTGCAGACGAGAGGCGCAGGCAGGGTTTGGATAGGGTAGAGGTGTGGGAGTGAAGTGGTCGGCTTCTGATTATAATCTGAAGGTAGAGCCAATAGTCTTTCCCGACAAACCAGCTAAGAGAGGAGTCAAGGATGACTCCCAAGTTTTGACTGGAACTGCAGGAAGGATGGAGTGGCCCAGAATTGAGGTAGGGAAGATTGCAGTGGAGCAGATTGCCTAGGGTAGGGTGGTCATCATAAATTCCGTTTGGGATTTGCTCACTTGGCCGTGGAATATATGAGACTGAGCAAGAGAGAATACTGGGATGGAAATACAAGGAATACCAACAGATAGAAGGAAAACCCAAAGCATGAAGTGTCTTGGAAGCTGATGAAGAGAATTCATCCAGTAAGTGAGAGAGGTTGGCTGTAAAAGCGAGTATGACGAGGCCTGAGAGCTGTCCACAGGACTCAGCAGTTTGGGGTTATCTGGGCAGGGAACACAAAAGACCAACTAGAGGGGCCGGCAGGTGGTGTGGTGGTTAGGGGCACTAGACTCCCACATGGTCGACCACAGTTAGAGTCCTGAACCTGGTGGCTTGCTTTCTTGCTCTCTCTCTCTCTCTCTCTCTCTCTTTCTCTCTCCCTCTCTGGGAGATTAAATAAATAAATAAATAAAGTTAAATAAAATCATTTAAAAAATAAAAAAGACCAAGTAGAGGGGATTTCAGGAATAACAGAAGGCATAGAAGACAATAAAGGGGTGAAATTCCCTTGTGGAGTTTAACCACAAAGAGAACCGCAGTGGGGCAGCAGCTGGAGGGACAAGGGCAGTCAAAGGAAGGCAACAGGTTTTTTTAAAAGATGGGAGATAGCAGCATGTGCATTGCATATGGGATGATCCAGCAGAGGGACAATGGTTGGTGAGACTGAATGAGGTCGCTGCAAGGAAGGATAGAAGAGCTAAGAACAAGCCTAACAGCGGAGCAACCAGGGCCAGTCCCAATGGCTCCTTTCCAAAGTCACAGAGGCAGGTGAAATCAGGGGTTCAGAGGCTGGCAGATGTGTGTAGTGGGAAGTGCAGCAGGGACAGTGGGAGTCAGCTGACAGCCTGGAAGGCTGCAGGGCTTTAGGGCCTCAGCCTGTTTCTGCAAATTTTCAGCTATTTAATCTAGAGCTTATTATTCAACCTCTCTCTCCACCTTGGTTTCCCCATCTGTAATTCAGTGACAAGGGTGGTAACCTCTGCAGAGTTGCCATGAGCATTTAAATGAAGTAATACATACAAAGCACTTATCTGGCAAAGTACCTGGCAAACAGTGTTTGCTGTCAAAATCATCCCTCTGAGTGAAGCCACTGGACAACTAACATGGCTCCTCTGAGTCCCATTTTGAAACTAGCATTGGATGTTACTAGGAAAAAATGACTTTGCCTCCAAAAATCTCACATAGTTTCTCACTCCCATCTCTAGACAAGATAGCGTCTAGAACCTTCATTCCACAACAAACTAGGTGCAATGTCATGGGAAAGTCTCTGGGTCTCTCTGAACCCCATTTTCATACTACATATAAAAAAGGCAGGACTAAATGAACTCTAAGCTCCCTTCAAGTTCTAGAGTCAGAAAATCGTCTTTCCTTAGAGAGTTATTCGTTACATAAAAAATAATACAGCCGAGGAAACTATACCTTGCAGAAAATCCTGTAAGAACGCACAGAGGCTGCAGGTGCAGCCCACGCCCGTCCTCATTTGTCCTCATAGCCAGGGGCTGTAGGCTGAGGTTTTGATGCTGTGACCAGATCCTGAGCTAGCCACAGAGACACCTCACAGCCTAGACCCACGGCTGCAGACACACGCTGGACAAGGTGGACAGCAGAGCACAGGCCCAGGCCCATCACCAAACAAGCTCCTTCACCCTCATAGCACACCATGGTCTTGACAATCAGAACCAGCCCACCCTACAGAACCAAGGGGTACACCTCTTGCAAAGTCCAGGGTTCATAAAAATTAGCTCAGTCCTGTTTTTTCCACCTGAGAAAGAAACTTTGCAGAACATGACTCCATGCATCAGAGCAGCCAGGACAAGAGAACACATCCACAAAAAAAGCAGCTCGATCCAGACACAGAAATACTAGAAGAGGATACCTGACCTTCGTTTGCACTTTTACATAGTCATAAACATTTTGCAACAAATGACTTCCTGAGTTTAGATAAGTGCTTGATCCAACATTTATAAGTTACACGGCCATGTGGGGCCTTTTCTCTGAGTACTTAGTAAAGTCTGGTAAAGTGAAAACTAAAATGCAATCATTACTATGATTAGGGGCAAGATTACTTTACATATAATGTGACAGTGACTGACTGGGCAAAACCTCTTGCAAAGAAGAGCCTCTTTTTCACAGGCTTGCATGGACCTCTGGGAGGAAGAAAATGAAGGTTAAATTCCAAAACCACGAAGCTCAATTGTTCTTTGGCCAAATGAGAAATGCAGTGAAGCTGAGTTCGGGCTTGGGAAAGGGATACTTCAATGCTTTGTGCCGGAGGGAGTCACTGAGGGCATCCTCACTTAGATTCTGAATTTCCAGAAAAGCTCCCAGTATTCCACACACACCATGCCTCACACCCAGCCCTTCAGCTTGGACTTAAGACCTCAGGTGCTCCAAGGGCTGTAGTTAGTCCCACCAATTGAAGAAGAAAGACATCTGAACAGAGACCAGAATGCAACAGATGGCTTTAAGGAGACATCATGCTCACTGGTGGTCAGCAGGCGTTTCTGAGGGTGAGCTACAGTCACCGCAGGTATATCTTTTTTTTTTTTTTTTTTTTTTTTTTGGGGGGATTTTTCCTGTGGGGACCCGGCGCCCCCCATTGGCACTCCTATTTCTATCCTGCCCATTACTTTTTTTTTGGAGAGATTTTCACTGTAGGGCACGTGCGCTCGCCAGACAGACAGAGAGAGACATAGAGACAGAAAGCGAGAAATCACCCCCCAGGGGGGATGGTCACGCCGCAATCCCTTCTCCTCCATTCTCCTCTCGGGATCTTGGGCACGCACGCACACGCGCCCGGCGTGAGTTTTAAGCCACCGGGTCCGGGACACGAACCGCGGTCGACTACGTGGGAGTCCAGCGACATAGCCATTACGCTAACTGCTGGTTCCCACCGCAGGTATATCTTAAGGGAGGTGCTGAACACAGAGCCACTATCATGGTCTCCACATCCAGCTACACCCATCCCAGTGCAAGAAGCAGTTAGGCTGAGCTCGTTCATTCCTGTTTTAGCACTAAAAGCACAAAGGTTGGGCGTTGAGATGGAGAGGATCCTGGAAAGGGACTAAAGAATGCCAGCTGCTAGGCTCCCCTGTGAGCCTCTCCCAAAGGAGGTAACACAGAGGGGCAGACTAGCTGAAGGCTGCAGAACAGATTCTAAGAGTGCATGACTTTCATGTACACTCTGGTGTCTATTGGCTATGAGCCCCGGAACAAGTTACTGTACCCTTTTAGCTGCTGCTTCCTTATCTGTAAAATATCTACTACTTCATACGGCCCCCTGAAATGAGAAAACATAGGTGTGTATCGAACACTTAGTACAACAGTGTAAGTGTTCAAGAGATGGTATGTATTATTGCTTGGCGCCCCAGGGGGTACAGGTGGATAGGTGCATTGACACTGCATCTCAGTGGAGACCGGGAACTCCACAAAGCAGCATCGCACTCTCTGCCTCCCTCCTCCATCCTCACTCCTTCCCCACTCTATGATGCTTCTCAGCAATGCCATCTGAAATCTTGCCAAAGCTATCATGATGGGTTATCTGAAGTTTGTCAGATGTGGAGTGTGTCATGGGGCTGCCCTCAGACCACTGGACAATCTTCCCGGGAATTTTCCAGAGCCTGCCAATAGTTCAGCAAGTCTTGAGGCTTCATAAAGTGGCAGGTCACGATCCTCTTGAAGCGGCACGTGGAAAAACGTAACCCCCCTGGAAAAAAGGTCTGTTCTGAGTGGAGTTCCTCCGGTCTGATTTTCAGTTTTGCAAGACAGAGCCCCACAAATACATCTTCCAGTTTAATGAATGGGACACTTTCAGAGACGTTGTACACCTGGCTTGCAACGTCACTGGAAAACACGTAGCCAGTGCCAGAGCAAAAAGGTGGGTACTTGTCCCATGGGTACTCATATTTACTGATAAACCATTTGTTGAACTTCTTCCTGATTGGAATTTCATTCAGTTTTAAGTAGCCAGTGAAGAATCTTGTTGTTCTATTTTTTTTCAGGAGTAGTTCTGTCAGATAGTTCACATTTATAAACATGTCTGAGTCTGTTTTCATCCCAAAGGCCGCCTGAGGACAGAAGTGGTGGATCCATTCCAAACCCATCAAGGTCTTCAGAGTCAGGTTGGAGTACACGTCCACAAAGTTCTTCTGGATGATATCCCGATGCTGCTGGCCCTCCTGGGTCACATCTCTCACGTCAGCCTTGCTGGCTGTCATCCCCAGGAGAAAGAGAGTTCTGACCTGCTTTCCTCTCACAGTCTTTTCTCTCCCCCACGTATTTCGGATGGCCATGCGAGCAGCCACCTGTCTGGGGGATGAGGTCACCAGCAACACAAGGAAGGGGGGTTGTTGCCTGCAGTCTACATCTGGGAGCTGGAGGAAGTCCCCATATTCTTTCTTGAAAATGTATGGCTCTTCTTTAAAGACAGACAGATTGGACATGCTGAAATACAAACAAAGGGCACCTAGAACCAGAAGGCAAAGGTAGGTCAACCTCATCTTCAGGTAAGCCATCTGAAAGAAACAAAATAAAACAATTAGACCACAAAAGCGCAAAGGTACACTTAGTTCCACAATGGGAGGCTGAGATGTGGGCAGAGACCCATGTTACAGAAATTCCAGAATCTCATTACATATAGAAATGGAGTGCAATGGGGCTGATTCAGTGGCCTAGTGGTTAAGGGGAGCCAGACCCCAAGTGGCCAACCATTCAGTTCACATCCTGGCTCTGGAGGCTTGAAAAACATACTGGGCTCAAGAACATGTATGCCTAAAATCTCAAAAGGAGGGGAAAATGGGGGAAAAGAGATTGTGGTGTGACCACACACCCCATTGAGGAGTGCTTTCTTCCTCTTCTTCCCTCTCTGTGTCTCTCTAGTGAGTGAACATGCCCTCTGACAATTAAAAGAAGTGGAGTGCAATAATTAAATAGTGAAGCACAGAGGGCTTCTAGCATCTTTTACACCATGGTACATGATAAAGAGCTCAGGGATTCCGGACATTGATCCCGGAGGCTCTGCAACCAGCCAGATCTTAACCTGTGGGAATCCCAGATGTTCAGTCTACAAGGACATGGACCAAGTTTCTCACTAGGTCCTCCAACTCTGCCCTTCTCTGTCTCCACAGTGAAGTGCAGCTAGATATCCTACAAGGTCAGAAACACACAGGCTAGACCTAAATGTACAGACCATTTGCATTCTTCTCAGATCTAATTATGTGCCCTTCTGTTCCTCCAAGAAAGCAAGTTCAGTTTTCTGATTTGCACAAAACATTAAAATTCTGCCTCTGCTAGAGGTTGTCATTTATTTCTCTAGGTTACTTTTTCAAACCTCCTATCTGATTCTTTCACCTTTTCCCCAGCCATCTCTGCTCTTCTTGGCATGTTCAAGATCATTTGTATTAATGTTAAAAGCAAATGACTCTGGGACCAGCAGACAGCATGGTGGTTAAGATGCTGAACTCCTACATGGCCGACTATAGTTCATGTCCTGAACTTGGAGGCTTGCTTTCAGATTCTCTCTCTCTCTCTAGCAAAGTTGTTTTTTGTTTGTTTGGTTTTTTTGGGGTTTTTTTTTTATAATAATGATAAAAAATAAACAAATAATTCTTTTGGAAAAAAAAAAAGTAAGTGACTCTTTGACCAGCAGGTCACGTGGTAGTTAAGGCACTAGATCCCACATGGCTAACTGCATGGTTTTAATACTGGATCACGTGGTTTGAAAAAAAAAATTGTGCTTGTGGGCATACATGCCCAAAATTGCAAAAGGAGAAAAGAGGGAAAGGAACTGTGTCATGGCCATCCTCCTAGAAGGTGATTTTCACTTTCCCTTTCTGTCTCTTCTACAGTGAACTCAAGAGTCCTATAGCAAAGCTAAAATAATAATAATAATAATAAAAATTTTTAAAAAGCAAATGACTCACTTTTTGCTGGTTATAAAGAGCCTCTGGCTTGAAAGCTAAGCTAGATGCCAAGGGAAAATCCGTTCCAAGGAGCTGTCCACGTACAGTGTTCCATACTCTCAGGTCTGGGTTCGCTCTGTTCACCTGAAAAGATGACTCTGACTCAGGAATCACTGCAGGGAAGGGAGAAAAAAAGAATAGCATCATTTAAATCACTTCACTTGCAGGTCTTCACAATTTGCTGTACCACTTTGCTACCTGCCCATGTAACCTAGAACATGAGGTGTTTGGGGATGATAACTAACATCTGAATTGGTAGAATGAGTAAAGCAGATGGTCCTCCTGGATGTGGGTGGACCTCATCCACTCAGCTGACAGGCCACATAGAAAAACTACTCCTGCCTGACTACTTGAGCTGGGACATTAGTCTTTTCCCAGCATCAGACATCAACAGAAACATTAGCTCTTCCTGGGTCTTCAGCCTATAAGCTTTTGGACTAGAACTTACAGAACTGGTTCTGATCTTCTGACTCAGATCTTCTGACTCAGATTGGAACTGCATCATCAGCTCTCCGGTTTGTCCAGTTTGCTAACTGCAAAGATTGGGACTTTGTGATCTCCATAATTGCCTGAACCAGTTCCTCAAGATAAATTTATAAATATGAGAAAACTATAAAAATTTTGTAGAAAATGGAATTAAAGTACAAGTTTATTTTGGTTGAAAAAAATTTTAATACATGCATAGTTTTTCCATAATACTATGGACATACACACATGCCCTGTCAGTTCTGTTTCTTGGGAAAACCCTGACTAGTACATACAGAGAATCTTTGCTTCTCATGAGTAATTCATCCATCATGCCTCAAGCTTATGCAATTCAAGTGGCAAAGGGATTCTTGTGGAAGAGGTGCCAGATATTGAAGAGGAATAGGACAGCAGCAGAGGAAGACAGCAGGAGTAAGATCCTCAAAAACACACCCCAGAAAAGAGTGGCTGGAGGTATTTGTGGCCCAGATTAACCATGCCACATGATTCAGTGAGTCCCACGATGATTCCTCTAAACCGGCTGGTGACCTGGGCAAATAGGTGTCTTCTCTGAAAGCTGAGGATGTCTACCCAATCTTACAACAAACTTCACAGTTTCTTTAACTAGAAAAATCAACTGCAGTGCACTTTAACTAAAAACATCAGCACAAGGTCAGAAAAGAGATCAATGCAGCAGAATGGAAAGCTCAGAAACAGACCCACACGTATGCTGTAGCTAATAAATGATAAGCACATCACAACAATTTCGTGGATAAAGGCTGATCTTGCAGGGCTGGATGGCAGCACAGCATTCATGCAATTCTCTGAGTCTGACATTTATGCAAAGGTGCCAGGCTCACATCCAAAGATCTCCCTCAACATGTCAAGTGCACACATGCCTAGGATCCAAGGTGGCTGAAACTGAGGGTGGAATGCAGTGTGGAGACCATACTGGGGGTACCTCACTCTTTCTCGCTCTGTGTGTGTGTCTCTCCTGCTCATGGAAGGAAGAAATACACTTTACAGAAATATTTCTTAAAAGGGTATGGGTCAATTTTATAACCACACAGGGAAAATAAATGCCTGATCACTACCTCACACCATGCACAAAGATCAAATCCAGCATAACTGAAGGTGAAAGGCACAGTTCAACTTCTGGAAGAAATGCTTTTTAATCACAAACTAGGTCCTTAGTTTAAACAGGACACAAAATACACACCACAAAAGAAAAATCTGATAGAACTTCAACAGATGCCATCAAAGAGGCAAAGGCAAGCACTTACTAGGAGAATATACTTACCATATGTCAGACAAAGACTCTATTTTCCAAAATTTACCAAGAATTTCTATGAATCAATAAAGAAAGGTCAGGAAAAAAAAAAAACACACAATTCACACAATTCAAAAAAATTAACTGTGAAAGAATGTTTCACCAAAAAAAAAAAAAAGATATCCAAATGGCCAAAAGCCCAAGAAAGGACAATATAATTAGAAATTAAGGATATGCAAATAAAACAATGAAATACAACTGCCATACATTAGAATTACTAAAACATGAGCCAACAGGTGGTATGGTGGTTAAGGTACCAGACTCCCACATAGCTGGTCAGGTTTAAGCCTCAAACCCAGAAGCTTGAAACACACTGGGCATGTGAGCACACATATCCAAAATCCCAGGAGGGGAATGAAGAGGGCATGTGAGCATACATATCCAAAATCCCAGGAGGGGAATGAAGAAAGGGGTTGCATGGCCATCTCCCTTGGGAGGTGGTTTGGTGGTTTTCACTTTCTCTCTCTTCTCTTCTCTTCTCTTCTCTTCTCTTCTCTTCTCTTCTCTTCTCTTCTCTTCTCTTCTCTTCTCTTCTCTTCTCTTCTCTTCTCTTCTCTTCTCTTCTCTTCTAGCATACATATCCAAAATCCCAGGAGGGGAATGAAGAAAGGGGTTGCATGGCCATCTCCCTTGGGAGGTGGTTTGGTGGTTTTCACTTTCTCTCTCTTCTCTTCTCTTCTCTTCTCTTCTCTTCTCTTCTCTTCTCTTCTCTTCTCTTCTCTTCTCTTCTCTTCTCTTCTCTTCTCTTCTCTTCTCTTCTCTTCTCTTCTCTTCTCTTCTCTTCTCTTTCTCTCTCTCTCTCTCTCTCTCTCTCTCTCTCCAACAAGCACTCTATGGCAAAAACTTTAAAAGAAAGAAAGAAAATCACTAAAGCGAAACAGGTGGCAACACCAAATGCTGCCAAGGATGTGAAACAACTGGCTCTCCCTTACCTTTCCAGTAGGCATATAAATTAATACAATCTGGAAACTGCATCTGTCTGCTTTGACAAAATCTACTACAGCTAAACATATATGCTATGACTCAGCAAACTGCTCCTGCACACATACCCTACAAAAATGATTATTCATTGGGGGCTGGCAGGTAGCATGGTGGTTAAGGGCGCTAGACTTCCACATGGTCAACTGCAGAGTCCTGGACCCAGAGTCTTCCTCATCTCTCTCTCTCTCTCTCTCTCCCTCTCTCTCTCTCTCTCTCTCACTCATCAAATTAAAAACAGTTTTTTAATTCAATAAAATAATTGTTAAAAAAAAAAAAAGAAGTGACTGCTCGTGTCCACCAGGAGACAAGATCTTAGGCATGTACGTGCCCAAAATACTTAGAGAGATCTCTGGATGCAAACCCTTGACAATGGTCAAGAATGCTCATTGTGGGACCAGCAGTTAGCCTAATGGCTATGTCACTGAACTCCCATGTAGTCGACCACGGTTCAAGTCCTGGACCCGGTGGCTTAAACTCACACCAGGTACATGTGTGTGTGTATCCCAAGAGGAGAATGGAGGAGAAGGGATTGTGGCATGGCCATCCCCCCTAGGGTGTGATTTCTCACTTTCTGTCTCTCTGCCTTTCTGGTGAGCACACGCACCCTATAGCCAAAACCTTAAAAAAAAAAAAAGAAAGAAAGAAAGAAAGAAAAGAAAAGAGAAAATTATGAGCACAGTCAGTATTGCCCATAATTTCCAAAAACTGTTGTATAAGCTTGAGTCCAAACAGGAGAGAGAAACTATACAGTAACTTGAACACAGAACGGGTAATACAAAGAATTATCAACTATAATAAGGAATTTTAGTAATGTCAGATGACTTAATTAAAGAGAGATTAACAGCAAGAAGTAAAGATAACTCTACAAAATATAAGAATAAGAATACATAAGGAATAGCCACAGCCCCCAGGATCAAGACTGCATACCCAATTAAAAGCCAGCCACAGCCCCCAGGATCAAGACTGCATACCCAATTAAAAGCCTCCACTCCCCACCCCTTGCTGGGATCTAGACCTCTCTGGAAACAAGTCATGGTGGGTCAACATTAGGGGAACTTGTTTGCAATCCACCCTCTGGATTTGCCAGGAGGTGAATCAGGTTGCTACGTAATCTGCTCACTGGGAGTTGTCTCACAGATGCTCTGCTGCAAAACCATCAGGGAGATGAACAGGGGCAGCTGCTGTCTGGCTGGCACTTGGTCAGAGCCTGTCAAGCCTGTACCCAAGAATCAAGAAAGAAAAAAAAAAAAATCTGTCCTCCTGGAATACTTCCCCAGGTCCCTCTATAGATGAGCTACAAGGCCTGGGGTGTAGTCGAAAATTATTTAAAGGGCCCAGATCCATTTTCAGAAGAGTGAAAAAGGGTGACTTTAATGCTGAGAGGTGATAAATCAATAACAGCACTACTACAGTCAAAAAACATCCCCAGGGTCAGCCAGGAGACGTGGTGGTTAAGGTGGCTGGATCCCACATAACTGACTACATGATTCGAGTCCCAGGCCCGGCAGCTTGAAAAATTACTGTGGGCATGAAAGTATGCATGCCCAGAGTCCCAATAGAGAATGGAGGATAAAGGATCCCAGCATCGCCATCCCAACTGGGGAGGTGATTTCCCACAATCCCTTTCTCTCTATGTCTCTCTCCAGTGACTGCAACTCCCTATAGCAAAGTAAAAGAAACAGAAGAAAAA